TATTTGAAATCCTATGAATGTACTTTCGTAAACAAATGAAATGTGTCTACAGAAACAGTTGTAAATCACATAGGCCCCTAAACCAACCCAGATATTTAATGTTTTCATTTTTGTTTTTTGACTTCTTGCATGTTTAATTGGCTGAATCATATGAAACTTAGATAGGAAACTCTTCCGCATAGGGTTGCATTTGGATAGAAACATAATACGTATAAATTATTGATGAATTTTACAAGAATATTCAAGGTTGACTCAGCCTTACATCCTTCTGGGTCGGTAAAATGAGGACCTAGATTGTTGGGGGCAAAATGCTGACTCTCTAGACCGCTTAGAGAGGGCTGTAAAGCACTGAGAAGCAGTGTATAAGTCTTAAGTGCTATTGCTATTGCTAAGTGCTATTAATGTGGGAGAGATGATTCAAAAATCTTAAAGACAGATTTTCCTCCCAGTAACCAGATTCAAGGTTACTTAGAACATATTCCATCTTTTTTGGAGATTCAATAAAGTAACTTGCAAAAAAATTAAAAGATGAAAGTTCATACTTTGTCAAAGCACACTTTACAGGAGAAAGTAAAGAAATTCACTTGAACCAGGTTTTTATGAAACCTTTCTGTCTGTGCTCCTTGTCTGTATATGAAGGAGTATTTGCTGATTCACATTAATTTGTTTTTGAGGAAGCTGTGTGAATCAAGATATAACATGGCAGTCTCCATTCCAGGTTACCAATTATTCTAGGCTTTGTTTAAAAAACATGATGTGAGACAAAAGGAATGTTCACATGGCAGCATACATAACCCTAACCCTGTGATGGCGAACCTATGCCACACGTGCCACAGATGGCACACGGAGCCATTTGTCAGGGCATGCGAGGCGTGAAAAACCAGCCCTACGGGCAAACCTGAAGTTCAGAAGCATACTTGCTCATGGGGTCGGTTTTAACCCTCCAGAGCCTTCAGGGGCCTTCAGGAAGCTTCCCTGAAGGTTCCGGAGAGCAAAAAACGTCCCTACAAGAAAACTGGAAGTCCTGTTTGTCCATAGGGCTGTTTTTCGTCCTTTGGAGCCTTCAGGAAAGTCTCCTGAAGGTCCCTGAAGGCTCCGGAGGGCTAAAACCGCCCCTATGAGAAACCAGAAGTCCATTCCCGAACTTCCAATTTGCCCGTAGGGTTGGTTTTTCACGCTCCAGAGGCTTCAGGGAAGCTCCTGAAGCCTTCGGAGGGCCTCCAGGGGGCGAGGGAGGCTGTTTTTGCCCTTCCCAGGCTCCTACAAAGCCTCTGGAGCCCTGGGAGGGCAAAAAAATCATGCTAAAAATGGGGGCAGTGCTGGTCATGCACGAATGCATGCTGAGGTCATGCACATTGCATTATGGGTGTGGCATGCCCCCACATGACCCCACTGCGCTCCCCCCACTTTTAGCACGCAAGCCAAAAAAGGTTTGCCATCACTGGCCTAACCCTTTAAGAACTTAATAAAACATTAGAAAAAGATCAAGCTACTTTCATGACAATAAATGTATAACTTCACTTTGCACATGGCCTCTTTGACCCAAAACATATAAAGACCGGTTGCTGGATCTGGGTATGTCTAATTTGATGAAAAGAAGGATTAGAGGTGACAAGATAGCAGTGTCCCAATATCTCAGGGGTTGCCACAAAGAAGAAGGAGTCAAGCTATTCTCCAAAGCACCTGAGGGTAGGACAAGAAGCAATGGGTGGAAACTAATCAAGGAGAGAAGCAACTTAGAACTAAGGAGAAATTTCCGGACAGTTAGAACAATTAATCAGTGGAACAGCTTGCTTCCAGAAATTGTAAATGCTTCAACACTGGAAGTTTTAAAGAAGAGATTGGATAACCATTTGTCTGAAGTGGTGTAGGGTATCCTGCCTAAGCAGGGGGTTGGACTAGAAGACCTCCAAGGTCCCTTCCAACTCTGATTCTATTTCTATTTCCATTCCATTGTTGAAGGCCCTTTGTAGATGTGACAAAATAGGAGGACAGCAGTTTGCAGCCAAAATGGAGAATGGAAAAGGCAAGCTTTCAAGGAGAAACATAATTTGGTGAATCTTGTTGCAACGGGACTTGTCTTCCTAAAGAGGAAGTTGTGAATGTGTGTCCTCCCCCTTAATACCCTAGGGGTGAAAGGCAAAATTTGCACAGACCCCTGCAGGGAACCTTCAAATGCAGGCTTGGCCTCTGGGGCTCTTTGTTACACAAACACCCGTAGTGCAGACATATTAATCAGCCTGCCAGGGAGGGGTGGAACCGAGTAGCAACCCTTAGAGGCCGCCCACTTCTCATTCTTGCTCCCATTTGAGGTTGCTATATTAAGAAACACATTATTTCCTGCTGTGATTTTATATTTTTACCCAGCTTCTAATTTGGGCTCTGAGGTAAGCAATGACACATATGGCCCTCCTCTCCAACTCCTTCATTTTCTTCTTTTAATTCTCTCTTTTGCTCTTCCCCCCTCCCCCTGTTACCCATTTTTTCTGCTTTTTTACTGGAAAAAAACTGTTGTCTATCTCAATAGGGAAGTGTCTGACAGTTTCTTTCCCCAGGCCAAGGCTTATCACGAAAATCTGTGCCTGGTGGTTGTTTTTTCCTTTTTAAATTGCAACTAGCATGAAAAACCTGCAGGGATCTGTATATTTTGCTAGTCCCTTCTGTCTTTTCAAATGAGGAGACAAGGCTGTTATTTTTATTCATTGGATGCATGTCTTACCTTTTGTTCAAGGTGGTGCATATAGTTCTTGTGCTCTTCATTGCTCTTCACAACATCCCTGTGAAATAGGTCTCCTCCACAACATCCCTGAATGAAGAAAGAATAATTGGCCCAACGTCACCCAGTGAGCTATCATGGCAGATTAAACCCAGCGCCCCCTAAAGCCAGTCCACAACATTACACTCGCTGTCGCAGTCATGTGACATACGAAACCCTGGTTCATTCTATCATAGTTTAAACTACTATTAGTCATATTTGTGTAATCCACTTACTCATGATTCCCGATTCTCCAGCTGCACTATGATTTTTTATGATCCCTTTTGTTTATGATTTGTATGAAGCCTACATTTAATAATATTTGTGAAGCACACTGTGCTAAGACATGATGTGGTCTCTTTGACTTTGATGCGGTATTTTATGTCTGTGTTTCTCAACCTAAGCGACTTTGAGGTATGGACTTCAACTCCCAGAATTCTTCAGCCAATTTGGAAAACTACCAGGAGTCGGAGTTCACATCTCTTGAAGTTGCTGTGATTGACATAACTATGTTATGTGAATGCAACCATCATGGTTTGTAAATAAGGATTTATGGCATTGTGCTTTCTTTGAATTAATCCAACGGGAGCTTAGTTCACCAACCAGGGTAAGTAGTAGACTATAGCTTACCACAATGTATAAACCAAGCTTAAGATTGTCAGGAACTGCCTGGAAGTCAGTCCCCATGATCATCAACTGTATAGAAAGGGATTATGCCAGCCATACCTGGGGGCGGGGAGTATTCTCTTTAGCCCCAGAAATTCTAGATTATATTGATTAAACACCCTGGCCACAATTAAGTTCATTAATGTATTACCAAAAGAGCCTGATTTTTGTAGCTTGGTTTTAAGAAAAAAGCCAAAATTTGACATAATTATTGAGCTATCAATGAGTGTTAGTCAGTTGTCACTCCCACACTTTCTATGTAGCTGTTGAAAATGGAAAGAAAGGAGATGATGGAGAGTTTGATGTAAAAAGTTAAAACGAAATTGGGAAGAAGTGATATTTTGCATTAGACTAAGAAGGCCGGGCAAAACCATTTTTTCTGTCATGCTAAGAAAATGACCTGGATGCGGAGGTGGGTTCCTACCAGTTCGCACCTATTCGGTAGAACCGGTTCGTCAAATCTACCGAACCGGTTAGAAGAGGTTCCACCAGTGGACCCGGAAAGCAGGCCACACCTACAGAAGAGGTTCCAAAAATTTTTGAAACCCACCACTGGTCCTTGGATATGATTATTCTACACTATCATGCTCATATTTATAAAACTCAGTGCCTCTGTGAAAGGTAAGGATGACTACTGCGTTTGTGGTGCAATCAGAATATTGCATGTGTTGAAGTTGTTTTAACGCAAACCAAAGATGCCTTTTAAAAAACAAGTTTACATCATATTCTTATCCATGCCAGTGCTGTGTGTGAGGTAATTTAAGGTGGTTCTGACAAGTGTCATCGGCATCTTCATATCCGGTCACATGGGCGGCAAGCCACTTCCATCCGGTCACATGGGCAGCAAGTCACTCCCACAAAGGAGGCCACACCCACAGAGTAGGTTCGAACAATGTTTGAAACCCACCACTGCCTGGATGCCTGCATGAAATTTCCAAGAGCCAGTAACTTTTTTCCTTATGTAAAGTGAAAAGAATTTTGAGAGCCATAAATGCTGGGGTGATAGCTGGAGCTCTCCTGTTGTTTTGGGATGCCAAATCCTATTAGCCTCAGCTGATAGAAGATCATCAATGATCAAACATAAAGTCAGCATTGAACTATGACTGGTGGTCTTAAAGTTTCCCAGGGCAGTTAGGATGTCTTCCAGAAATAGTATATTGATGATATGGTGAAACAATCAAGGGGCAGACCATACTTCTATTTCCAGCACTATGCATGTTTGTACAATGCATCCAAATTGGAACAGTTTGTTTACTGCAGAAGCCTCTTGAGGAAGCCCCATGCATTGCTAAGAAGAACTTAGAAAGAAAGCAGAAGAAAGGGGAAATGGAAGAAAGATTTGGACTGAGGGGATTGGATTGGATTGGATTTATTCAACTTGTATGCCGCCCTATTCCCAAAGGGACTCAGGGCGGCTGAACAAAAGCCAAGGGGAGGGGAACAAATACAAAAAGTAAGACAAAAATAAGACAACAATACAGACAATTTAAAAAACACAACAAGCACAACCAATTCGAGTAGGGGTGGAAGGGGGGATATTCTTGGTGCTCTTTGAGATTGTTTTTTTTTTTTTTTGCAGCACATATTTCATTCTCCAAACAACATCATCAATCCAAGAAAGATTTGGCTACCCAAGAACCAGAAAAGATCCTTTAGAAACTTGGAGGACTGAGACTAGCAGGTATAAATTCTTCCACCCTAATCGGCGAGACAATTTTTCCACCTCTCATTTATACCAATATTTCTAAAAGCCCCCTTTCAGTTCTTACTTGTCAGGGTTTGCAAAGAAATCTCTGCAGATAATATTAAGAGGTCATATTAAGCACGTCCAGTCATTCACAGCAGCCAGGCATTAAGATTGCTAGTTGCAAAAGTGAATTGTGGCACTCAGCACAGTTGCCTGACTGCAGAAGCAGAAAGATCAGCTTTTAACAAGGCTGATTTTTGATGTCTGCAAAAGACAATTTTGGAATGTGAAAGGCAGTTTGGACCCGTTGGAAAAGTGCCACTGGGGAAGAGCGCTTCTAGATTGGGGTCAATAACTGGAATGATTCAGTAAAAACAATGGACAAGCTGTTTATATTTGGCTGGTTGCCTGTGAAATATTTTGTCACCATTTCATTTCTTCTTGCACAAACACCCCAAGTGCTGATGTTTTCCAAGGACTGAGCCACTTTGTGGTATTACTGCCCTGCCCTGCCCTGCCCTAAAATTTGGTCAGAGATAAAATACAGGAGGGACAGGGGAGGGACGTGGGAGATAGGAAAATAAATAAAGCAAAATGCCTTGTTTGGAAGGATGGAGACCAGGAATTACTGAAGGCATATTTTTCTGTTTTGGTTCTGACTTTTTACAAAGCCCCAGCCTGGGATGGTTTTCATTAAATGCTTAGGTTACAGTCTTATGTGTACACTTATTAGGAAGCAAGCCTCTGCCGAATGCACAGAACTTGTTTGAAAAGGAGAAGAAGCTGGGATAGGCTCCCAAATGACTTTTGAAGTGCAGCAAAATGTAACTGACTGTTTGTCAATCTCCCTACTAGACTACTAGAGATTCAGTGTCTTTCAGAATTGGCGCCGAAGAAATTATATTGAATCTTTTGCGAAAATTTTCATATTCGTGTCTTATTCATTTTGTTTAGTTTATATAGTTTTTATCTTTTAGCCACCCAGAGTTATCTTGAGGTAAGATGGGCAGCCAATAAATGTTACAAACCAGCAAACCAACCAACAAATAAATAATAGTGCCGACAAGAGGTTTCAGCAGATAAGGACTGTTTGAAGAAAGAAGGCATTTATATCAAGTCCCTTTGTGGGAAGATTCCAATGACTTTCAAATAATCTATGGGAAGAATTTTATGGCAATCACTATCTTTTACCCTTGGCATTGTCTGTCCTTAAAACTGGCCTAGGTATTTCCAGAGAAATCTATTTCTAAAGCAAGGGAAATAGAACCTAGGTTTCAACTTCATCTCCTACCACCAATATGGATAATTGCAGATAATTCTAGGAGTTCAGAATATCTTGATATATCGAATTACCCCTTTTCTAGGGTAAAAGTTATATGTGTGAAAACTGGTCTTTTTCAAGAGTGTAAAGGAGATTTACTAAAATATGTTGGTAGCTGCCTTTTTATTGGTTTAGTAAATGTTGTTGGAAAGTTGCAGAGTTTCTTGGAAGGAATTTTAAAAATAAGCATGTGAGTATTTGAACTGGATGAGATGGAACTGGCAGGTTCCCAAATTGAAGGAAAATCAAGACGTTGAGCCTCAGATATTCCCTTGCCAGAGGTGAACATGGCATTATTTTAAACCTGCACCTTTAAGTCTCATTCACTTAAAGCTGAATTTCCCCTGTTCTTCTATAATAGTATATATTGTATATTGACAAGATTGGGAAACATTGCTCTGCAGGAATATAATTGATACTGATCACACTTTCTGATAGAAGAAAAACAATTTCTGCTCAAATGTTTAGAAGGCCTAGTTTGGGATGGGTATGATAATACACAGGTCATTCTGTACATGTCCTCAGATTTAAGGACAATCCAGTCCTAATCTAAGTAAAGTAGAGTAGTATGGCTCTTGAAGTTATCCATCCACAGTATCTAGCAAGCAAACTGGCCCAACTAACAACATTTTTATTTGCAGTGGAACATGTTACCTTTATGTTTAAATTATATTCTCTATCCAGAAGAAAAAATAGACTGAGTTTCTATACCATGTCAAAACATTATTTCTTTAAAAAAAGTTTATTGAATAAATCAGATATGATGCTACCACAAAGTAATATTTTAAACCGTGATGACCAGACTTGCACATTGTGGTGTTCCAATACCAAATATTTCATACAATGTGTGAAACAGCCAGAATGTTGCAGTACCTCACCACCAATCAAAAAAGGTGCTTCTGTTTAGGTTTGGGCCAATTACAGAACAGAATCCTTTACCAAGAAAAGTTCTTTTCGTGAAGGGTTTTCCAATCCACGAAATGGATGCAAAGACTTGAAGGTCCAGTATTTTGCTGAACAAATCTCAGATTGAACAGCGACACTTGCCAGCTGGCCAAAGTTCCTTCTCTAAATCTACAACTGTGCATATGCATGCAGGTTTATGTTCGTTCTCTCTCTCTCTCTCTCTCTCTCTCTCTCTCTCTCTCTCTCTCTCTCTCTCTC